AGAAGGGGTGAGGGGTGCACCCTTACTGCTTTTCAAAGTGACTGTTGCTTCCTTATTCTTTATTGATGGGATAAAGGCAAGCAACTGTGCAGCTGTAATATCAGGAGGGACCTTATCGAGTTACTGTCTTCAAGACCAGCATTTTTTTGCCTGATTCTTGCTTGAGCTATGCATGAGATCCAGCTTGTAGGGTGGAGGGCTCTGGCCATGGGGAAAAAAAGGCATGACAACAGAGGATCTCCTCACATACTGTAAGGAGAAGATTCCAGTTCTGCAGGAGCTTCTGGCGGGCCTGGCTGTATTGTCTTATGTTTCTTGGTGTGGCAGAAGGTACCACCAATGCTTCTTCTAGCCACCCTTTTGTTGGTGAAAAGAGCAGATCTTGCTGTTTCACTTGACTACCTCTCCTGAATTTGGGGTGTGGTAGGAATACGAGGTCAGTCTTTCCTGGGCCATGCCTAAAACATCGTATCCTAGAGACTGAAGTGAAGTACGTTTCACAAATAGAGGAACTTTTTTCATAACTTCAACATTATTAATTTTAGTTCAATCATGGATGATGCTTTTGTTGCTTCACTACCCCAAACAGAGTTTGACTTGTGGTGCATTAAAAAGTTAAATAACCCGAGCGCAGTAATGTACGGCAGACAATTAAGGGTGGGGGAACAGAGCAAACGAATGAGCTGGAGATCAGCCAGGGAACATGTCCTACTGCCTCTCCTTGTGGGACTACAGAGCCCTAGATTGACATCATCATGAGAAGAAAAGTATTAGAGTATGTAGCTTTGCACAAACAAAGTGTTTACTGCCGAATAAAGATTACGCACATGCCTAACCTAGCAAGAAAGTGATGTGTGTGTACCCCAGAAAAATAACCATACTTCCAAAATGAGAATGTGTGTTTAGGAAGAAAAATGGTTTCCTCCTTTCAGATGCTAAAACATCAGTAGTACTTGCAACTATTTAACAGTAAAGGTTGGAAAGCACTGCTGTAGTAGTAGTTGAGAAAAATACTTTGCATTTGATTGAGGAAAATACTTTGCATTTGTAGAAAGCCTGACTTTAAAGGATTTACAGGTGGTTTGTTAAGGTCTTGCATTGATGCAAGAGATCAGTTGACAAACAGTCACCATATATTCTGTGGCTGACAGGTTAGCCTGAGGGTTCAGAGCTTGTCGCTGGAGGATGCAGTGTTAGAATATGAGATTCCTGATCCTCTGCTCAAGCAGCTCTGGAAACATTGCCTTCTGCTTTTGGCTAAAGATAGAATGGACAGAATTGGTTACTACCAGGCATTTCTATACCGCTGCCAAACTTTCCCCAGAAGTGGCCATTACACTGAAAAATACTGAATACTGTGGTAGTAGGCATTATAGAAACTGGTGGTGGATAGGAAAAGCGTGTGCCTACAGGACAGTATGTTTAGCTCTTGACAATGTAGAGTGAGATATTACTCCCTGGTCGCTGCCCTGCTGCTTGAAGCAAAATATACTTTTCTTTAAAGTATTGCACTGCTGTCTCTTCAGAGAGCTTGTTTGTAAGCGTCCAGAAAAAACAACTACTGGAAAACCATATTTTAGCAGTAAGCAGCAATCTTGTATCAGGCTACCTCTGTGCATCTCTAGCTGTAACCACAGAGCATGGTCTGTGTTTTGTCAGTCCCGCTGCTAGCTATTGTTTTATTGCCAAAGCCTCTCTGAAGATTGTATATCCTGAGATGTCTCTCTAGAATACTGATAACTTGGGACACACATGCAGAGAGCACACAGTACAAACAAGAATTATGCAGTATGTGCTTTGCGCCATCGGGATGTAGTATTTGGGGTTTAGCCAAGTGAGGCTTATGATTGCCATATGTGGACTAGCAGAAGACGCACATAAAGGTACTTTGCAAGGACAGCAAACAATGGCAGATAAAGCTTGAGTTATTCTATTTTGGTATGTGTCAAATCACAGCTACCCTGAGGAATTGGCTCCTGGAGGAGACCAGAGATTAGATGAGTGATATTTGCTAGGTGACAAGCCAGCATGTGGCATGCCAGTGTGTGAAGAGCCTGGCAGTGCTAGAAGATCAAGCAAGGTGGGAAAGACACAATCAGAAAGGCAGTATACAACTGATTCACTAAACTTTATTGTCATTGACTTTCATGGGAATATGACAAAATGCAGTGGTATATTTCTTCTCACTAACACTTCCACTTTAACATAAGGAAAAACTTTTTCACTGTGAGGGTGACAGAGCACTGGAACAGGCTGCCCAGAGAGGTTGTGGAGTCTCCTTCTCTGGAGATGTTCAAAACCCACCTGTTATTCTGTGCGACCTGCTGTAGGTGAACCTGCTTTAGCAGGGGGGTGGACTAGATGATCTTTCGAGGTCACTTCCAGCCCCTACCATTCTGTGATTCTTTATATTATGACTAGCTTCTCTAAGAGCACTGTCTGCAAATCTGAGATAAATTTCACTTGGATTCCTTCTTTCATTTGAATTTTACTACTTTCATATGGAAAGAACTTGATTAAACATTAATTTGCTGTGGGTTTTTTGTTTGGTTTTGTTTGTTGTGTTTTAAAGAAAGACAAAGCGTTGTATGAAGAGAGACTTAAATGACTGTTCATCCTTCTTGGATTTTTTGAAGTAAAATAATTATAATGCAAAGGCAACAACCTTTCTCCAGTGACCATTTTCTCTCTCTACTATACTAGTCTATTAATTCCAAAATCAGCTAATGTTAAAATAAATGAGTAGTAGTGTTTGCTTTAAGATAGAATTTTTTCTCATCTTATGGTAACTATATAGGCACAGAGGGGAAACATAGAAAGGACTTATAAACTCTGTGAAGAAGTCATTTTAGCAGTCTTTTTCCCTTGGGGCAGAGCTCATGTTTCCTGACTGGTGTATGGCCAAGGCCATGACTTTTTCAAAGGTTTGTGTGTTATTGGATTATACTGTTTGTTTTGCTTGCTATTCTTAGCCAGAAAGTTATGTCTTTGATTTCTTTTCTATGACAAATATAATGAAGCAAAAGTAGTGGAAAAATTTTTGCACAAGTTGATTTAAGTGTTAATGACAGAGAAGTGTTCATTTCAGCCTGGCTTGTAACATTTTACACTAGTTAAAGGGACATGCCAACTGGTCTGCTTTGATAGCAATACTGGCTCTGAGCAGCATTATGTTATATCATGCCTTATGTCTATTTTTGTCTTTTTAATGAATGACAATAAGACTAGTACTATATGTAAGGTAGGAGGAAAGTGATGAAGGGTTTTTTTTACATTAATTTTTTCATCCCTCTCTGTCAGGCAACAGTGTTCTGTAGTAGAAGGGAAAGGAAACCGGTTTGAGAATGTTTGTACTTTAGCATTGGGTTGTAGTCGGGTTTTTCTTTTGCTTTTAGCATGCTGGCCTTTTCCAAGGCCTCTTGCTGTGTGCATTGGAGAACGTAATGTGTATATTTTATCCAGTCTATCATTGTCTACAGAATTAAAAGGCTTTGAGTACTGTCTTCGTTTACTACTTGCTCAGTCTCAGTTTTGCTTGGGAAACTATGGAAGTGGTTGCAGATTATGTGGAGTACTGTATTAGAAATATTTGGTACGTGAGTATTTATATGTTATGAGTAGTCAAAACTGAGTATTTAAAAAAATAAGTCACAGGTTTAAAGCTACAGTTGTGAACAGTTGTCTGTTAACAATGTTACTAACAACTTTTGGAAATGAAGTTATGATAACTTCCTTCAAAATTATTGCTGGCTTGGGACTATTTCAAAGAAGCAAAGAGAATATGAACAGGGAAAAGGATGAAGAACTTTATAATTCTGCAGATAAGGAGCTGTAAACGTCTATATTGTTGCTTTTCAAGCCACAGCTTCATTCAGGAATTAGTAGGGAATGCAGTAGTCCAAAGCATTCAGCCTGGGTTCGGGCTTCTTCGAGGCAACACATGGAGAAATGTCTGCTACAGCAGTGTGCTTTTCATTGATCTACAGCACTGAGGAGATGAATGAAGAAATAGTGATACTTCAACTTTTTTGCTGCCAAAAGGCTTTAGGAAACTAACTGTTCCTGTGCAAACTCACTGGAATAAGGAAGACTTTGTACTTGCTTCTTTGTATGACCTATCTGTTCAACACCAGCCAGACTCTGGTTAAAATGTGTTCAAAAAAAATAAAATGGTTCCTCAGGATTACTGGCGTCACAACCCAAGCTCTGCTTCTAGGGGGGCAATGGCATTACAAGCAGACTGTGCTGACTGTCATATCTAAAACATGGCATATACGGTTTACCATATGATAGGTGTAACCCAAGTTAGTGCAAATCATCTCCAAGACAAGTCCTTAAACTGCCTTACTTCCTAGTAAAAGACTTAACATTATTTTCAAATTTTTCCTTCTGATTAGTCAGCGGCTGTACTTTATTTATATAATGAGTTTTTGTCACTGTAGGTGCCTGAAGTTGAATTGGCCAAGTATCTACTTTGTCAAAATTTGGTGTAAAATTCATTGTTGCAAGATGCTGTAACCTAGGAGCTCACTTTTAATTTCTGTCAATTGTTGTGAATATGAAGCATAAATGCTAAATTCAAGGTGGTGTTCTTGCTGTTGACTGTTTTTTCTATCATAACGTGCTTGCCTAAACAATGTATGTGATACCTAAAATGCATCTAAGCATGGAGTAAGATTGAGTTAAGTTTTGTTCAAATATCTATTCTGACTAATTCTTATAGCTACAGAAGCAGCAAAATGCCCCAAGGGTTTCTCATGGAGGACCCTAGAAGCATATTTTGTTGTTCCTTCCACATATTGATTCAGAAATACGGTGCATAATTGCCCTTTTTATCTCTTTTTGAATGCAAAGGTTTTCTTAATTGTGTTTTCTTGATGCTCTGCAGAACATTTATTTGTTGTAGTTTTCTACCTTTTTAAAAAAGAAAAATGAAAGCCGAATTTTTACAACTGAAAGCTGAACATAGTTGTTATCCCTTGACATTGTTTCTTTCCCAGGGAGTGCTGTCCAATATCTCCTCCATCACCGACCTGGGAGGCTTTGATCCAGTGTGGCTCTTCCTAGTGGTAGGAGGAGTTATGTTCATTTTGGGATTTGCAGGATGCATTGGAGCTTTGCGAGAAAATACCTTTCTTCTCAAATTTGTAAGTAGCCTTTGCAACTTTGGCATTCATCAGTTACATAGCATAAGTCACCTCAGTTCCTGCTTAACGGTGTGAAGATTTTTAAAAAGACTTTTTGGGAGGTGAAGGTGCTGTCTGATGTGAGTGTACTGTTCTGTGAATTGCTTTTGCTTAACTGTTAACATTTTACAGCTCTTCAGTCTCTAGGGCTTACTGTTTTTGTTTTTAAGCTTCTGAACTATCGATGGTAAGAATCTTAACTACTGCTTTTCATGTGGATATAATCTAATGTTTTCCTTTCCTGTAACAAAAAGAGAAATTTCTGCTAAGAATCTGCATGTTGAACTTTGAGTCCATTACAAACTGCCTATGAAGTGTGAGGAATGTAGATACACCACTGAATGTGACCCATGTGATTTCTAATGTGCAAGTGCCCCTCATGGTACAGAGGAGATGGAACTGTTACAAGGGGTTGCTTGCTGATATCCTCAGCTCTATGCTGTTTAGCTAATCTGAAAAGGCTTCATTGCTTGCTGTTAGTGCTAGGGCCTGAGAGGGAGAAAGGCAGGAGAATGTGCCCAGGATAGGTGAAGAAAATAGAAGTTTTCATCTTGAGCTGTGGGCTAGGCTGTTAGTTGGGGAAGGAGCAGCTGATACGCGAACATACCTCAGTGCTCAAAACTGCTTCAGTTAAGTAGCCCCTCTTCCTGTGAGCTTTGAAGATGAGGATAACAGTATGATGTTGCGGTTTTAGATAAATTTAAGATTTGTAATATAAACACAAGAGTGTTTCCTCCACCACCCTAACTTCCAGAGGTGGGCACAGCCTGGGTAGTAGCTGTGTCTAGGTAACCATTGACTGTTAATACATACGTGAAAAAGCTTCCAGTGAAACAAACTGCCTTTAAGTGACATGTTTGGCTCCCACAGACATGTTGTATAAAGGGAGGAGGCAGTTGAGAGTTACAGTTCTTGAGGCGTTTATAAAGCTGCTTGGGATGGTTCTAGCTTGCTTGTCTCGCCTTTTTTTTTAAAAAAAAACCTTTTTTCTCCTCTTCTTGCTTCTCTTAGTTTGCCTAAAGTGAACCCATCTGCTGTACCAGAAATAGCTTCCTATGCAGCAGCTGCAGGAGAAATTAAAAATGCATCTGAACAAACATAGGAGCATATTAAAATGAAACTCAAAGGCGCAGTTGCAAAAGGGATGGACTTCCAGTATATGAGGACCCCTGTGTGTTTTGAAACAGTGTGGACTCAGCGGAGATGCTTAGAGAAAGTGGCAGATCATTAGTAATGCCTTTGGCATCCATTGCATTTGCATTAATCATAGCAGCCTCATTTGGTTTTAACATGGGTGTGAGTCATTCCATAGACATTCTGCTCTGACTTGGCCATTAATTAATTTCTGCTGTTACCAATTTTTGCTTTGTCTGCTTAGGAAAAGCTTTACCAATGAGAGTGTCTAAAGAAAAAGTCACTTAGAAAGCATTTCACTGGCACTGTTGGTTGTTCATGCCTTTGAAAATATAAGTGCCTATGTAGAAATTTAAGATGGGTTTTCAGAGGGCCCTGTAGTTGGTGAATAGCCATCTTTGTTGAAATTTACAGTGAATTCTCTTGGACCTCTTTGCCAAATTCCAGTGAAATGTCTGAAGTTTGAATTTGTTGGCACATTTATTATTTGTTAGAATAGAATAAAGATTCTGTACTACAGCCCTAATTAAAAATGATGTATTTTTAATTTAAAATTTCCTGTGTGCTGGAATAGCTTGAACTTGCACTGAAACAGATAAAGCTCTGACACTGTACATGATTGTGAGCCTTGGAAAAATAAGTATTTGGTTATAACGCAAAACAATTTTAACCTTTTTCTTTTTCCTCATAGTTTTCTGTGTTTCTTGGAATTATTTTCTTCTTGGAGCTCACTGCTGGTGTTCTAGCATTTGTTTTCAAAGACTGGATAAAGGACCAGCTGTATTTCTTTATAAACAACAACATCAGAGCATACCGAGATGACATTGATTTGCAAAACCTCATAGACTTCACACAGGAATATGTAAGTTGGACTATGTTTATTTTTTTTGTAATGCTTACTTTAAAGAAGTAGCTACTCTATTTTTTACTTCCCACATGTTTGGTTTCTTTAAGGAACAACAGAAATATTTTAGCATATAATATTTCAAATATATATCTATATATGTATGTATGTTTCTCTGTATAGAACTTCTACAAACAAACAGCACCTGTGAAAAATAGTTTATTTGTTGATGTATGACTGAGCAAAACAAGGTGGAGAGTTGGGGTGACTTATTCCTGAAGATGTAGAGATAGTCTGTCAAATGTACAAGTTAATCATCAGTGTCTTGTGTTTAGGTTTTTGGAGCATATTCCATATGCGTATAAGGATATGTTAGGGTTCTTGGGGAGCAGGGATGTTCAAAACATTTTCTTGTAGGAGCTATCGCATCTGTTTAAAAAAAAATTAATCCTTTTCTAAGCTTAATTTGGTTCTGAGATGAATGTTGGTGTAGTTTTAGCAAGGTTAGAGGTGTTACACCACACTGCAGAGTGGCAGAGATGTTTAGCTGGTCTGGGTGAAACTACAATGTTATTTCTTTCTACGTAGACTTAATGCAGTTAGCCTAATGAAGTGGGCAACTCAAAAAGTACTTGTAGGAAATCTCTAAATGATGCTACATCTGCACTTGGGAGGGAATGGTGAAGCCAGAGATGCGCACGCTTGTGTGGGTTAAGCTCTGTAATTTATCAGTCTGTGTAAAGGAGTCTTCCATTGTCTTTTGCATCCAAGTTATTTTGCCAGTGCCTTCTTGCTCCAGTACTCAGTTCTGGTCTGCATCGATCTCATTGAATTGGCTCTGTGTAGCTAATGTGGTTATGTGTTGGTTGAAATCATATTCACTAATTTTTGTAGATTATGCAGTTAAAATAATTTCATTCAATGTTTGATTTGCTTCTATATGCCTTGGGGCAAAAAATGATGAGTAAGTAACAGGATGTGATCCATGCACTGATTTGGATCTTGTCTGGTTGGGAGAAGGTCAGAGGTCACCACAAAGCAGTGGTCCACTTGTATGTGACCACAAGGCTACAGTGCAGTTTTGCAGGCATGACTAAACTTGCTCTCCTAACAGGATTAGCCATTTTAGCAGATAAGTTAAGGACAGTGTGAGTCTGGAAAGCTACTAGAGATAATGCTTGCGGACAACGTATTCGGGTATCACAGAGGGAACTGTGCTACATCTAGAAAAAGAGAATTGCTATTCCAGTGCTTTTAAAAATGTGATTTGTTTGGCTTTTTCTATTTTTTTTTTTTACATGGATGGGTTCATTGGGCTAGCTCCTTAAATGCTGTAAACCATCAGTGCTCCAGTCCAGTTCTTTGTCTGTTCAGCATGCTTTGCCAGAGACTAAGCCTGCCATTTGGCATATTTACTTTTTGAAGGATTCTGCCTGCCTTCAGTGAAGATGTCATTTGTGCAATGTGTGATGCTCAGGAAACAATGTGTTCATACCATCTGATGTACAGGCAGAAATTACCCTAAACTGGCAAAAGGAGTAGCTATACCAGTGGAGCCCTTGGAGCCAATTAGTTTTGTTGAGAACCCAGGGCACATTAGACTGGATAGAATATTGTGCTCTTGGCTCTACTATCCCTGGAGCCTGAGCTTGTAGGCCTGTGCAACTCTGTGGTGTTGTGTAGGCTTATCAGCTTCACTCCGTGGGTTTCTCTCCAGAGGGTAGTATTGCAGGATGTGAACGTAACTTTAATCACGTGATAATTGTAGAACGATGTACAGGTTTGGAATGGTCTTTTTAAAAAAACAAAACAAACCCAATTCAGCTTCAATGAAACCAGAGGGAATCTCAGATTTTGTTTCAGAAGCTAGCAGCAACGATGCATGTTACTAATGCTGAGATTTGTTTGTTCAGCTCTCCTTTCTTTATTTTAGTGGCAGTGCTGTGGGGCTTTTGGAGCTGATGACTGGAACCTTAATATTTACTTCAATTGCACAGATTCCAACGCAAGTCGAGAGCGCTGTGGTGTGCCATTCTCTTGCTGCACTAAAGACCCTGCCGTAAGTGACAGTCTAGAGGGGTAGGATGGGTCTGCTGTTCCAATTTCAAGTCACTCTGGAAGATTCCGCACACAGC